GGAATTGCCTAAGGCGTGCGGCACCCTTGCGTGTCCGTCCGCAAAGGTCAGCCTCCCCGAAGCCTCCCATTGTCCCTTAGGACCACCAAGAGAGAGAACGGGTTAGAGAAAACGCCTCAAACGGGATCCACAAGCAAACATGTCCGAAAAACACTTCATAGACAATGCAAATTACAAACAGACTTTACAAGCTTTGAACAGTGGCACAACAAAGGGTAAAATGGTCCATTACAGACCGACAAGCTCTCGCACGTGTCTACATGACACAACCTTTATTTACAAGCCTAAAGAGGCCACCAACCCAACTAAAATGGGACTTATAAGCCTTCGGCTGCCCCTCTACATTCTGTACAAGGTATGAACATGCCAAAAGACACGGACATATATAAGCATTACATCAAACACCCTGTTTCAAAGTTTGTCCGTGACAGCTCGGTCTGATATTTCTTACATAGACATGACAAATCAATATGAGTATCATTAAGATCCACATATACTGCAAGAGGAAGGGTACCTCGATGCATTTCTTGGATGCCTACTGTACATGTACAAGGTTCACTAGTGATAGGGCAAACTCAGAGAAGGCTGATGAGCTTTGGATACTTAACCAAATTTTGGAAATTTGCTTCATCACCAGTCATGATTGGAAATTTGCTTTTAGTCTTTGGGCTTAAGATTGAGATGCATTCTGGTCAACTGTGATGGTCTTACATTAAACTTGTTTATTTAATCAGTATTGTCATACATACTGATTCGCCATGTGCTTCCACTAATTAGTTGGAATATATCTTGAATTATCTAGTTAAGTAAGACTTTCTATCTTACTAGAAGTCAATTAAAGTTAAAAGTTGTTACAAATTTTCAATGTGCTAAGTATCTTTGTTGCTTCTCAAAAGCTTTTGGAGTCAGTGATCTCTTTGTTATGGTTTATATGTAAATAATAAGTTCTTTATGCACTAGGTCTGGCCGTGAAAGTGATAGTGAAACTGAAGACACTGAACATTCTGAAAAACTTCGTCAAGTGAAAGCAGTACTTGAGGAGGTATTATTCTTATTTGTTGTAGCATATATTGCTTTGCATCATGTCCTTGCTAATGTAGAAAATCATCAGTGTTTTATATGCAATATGCCAATATGTAATGAAATTTAGACTATTCTGCCTACCATGAAAGTGAAAATTATCTCATTTGGTTAAAGGTATATGCCAGTTGACTTGCATTGAATTAACTAAAGTGTATCCCCTTCTAATGTAGTATATAGGTGGAACATTGTCTTAAGGATATTCATATTAAACGTGAACAATATCTGCTTTACTTGATATGATGTATATCAATCTTGATTCTTGTGGTAGCAAAATTTCTTTGTGGGAGGTTATTGTAAGACAAACAATGTTTGACATTTATTTTTCAGTTGCAAATGGCTTAAATGACCACAAGATTTTTCAGCCCAGAGTAAAAGAACTCTTCTGGGTTAATTTTCAAGTGGGCAACTCTGTTTTATTAAAACAAGTCATAAAGTCTTACTTAAGAATCTTTTTGGCTGCATTTGGGAGTACGTTTGCATCTCAAATATGCATTTGGTGAAAGAGATTTGAGTGGATGTGCAGTTGTAGAATGTTTTGAGTATTTGGTAAACAAATGATGAAAATAGCATTTAAATGTGCATTAAAATAAAATCTTATAAAAAAATTTATATGGTCCAGATATATAATAAATAAATAATTTAATTCTTAATAAATGAATTAAAATAATATTTGGAAATAAAGAAATAAAATTTCATTATATAATAGTCAAATCATATTGGTTTCTCATTAAATCATGTCGCTACATTAAGAGAAATTGCTTGTTAAGCTGGCGGCTATTTGATCATGAAAATTAGCTATGTCATAAGATACATTGCTATTAGAGTTCGTACCACCCTCATTTATGTCATTACAATCATCAATTTACAATACCATAATTAGGTTCTAAATTTGCTTTAGCAAAATGAGTATTATTAATGGCAAGGTTTGTCATGCCATGGAGTACTGCTCGGTGTGGGCAGTATGGGCCGGTCTGATAGGGGACTAGTGTGGGTAGTACATCAGCATGTCTCCATGTATCATGTGTCGGTACGCTCTGTATGACTTGGTATGAAATATACCGACAACTAATCAGTACACCGATACGGGATTGGTAAGGTGAACTATGATTAATGGCATCATCTTCTGTAGATGTGTAAAGTCATCGTCGCAAGTTCGAACCACAATTTGCACTTCCTTGTCTTATAGATAGCTTGACATATTCTTCAATATTTTTCATTTCCTTTTCAGTACACTGAATGCTTACTCAATTTCTGAACATAGTGAGGAATGAGCATGATTGAACACTTCTTTATAACTTGTAGGTCTAAGGCCCAGATAACCTGTTGGATTAGGATATCCAGCATCTAGCAAATAATATTTACCTACAAGAATAATATAAATTTAATCAATGTATAAAATACATTTAACATTATTGTGCCAAACTATTAGTAACAAACCTGGAGGAGGATGAGGAAAACACAAATCATGTCTTCCAAAAGCTTCATATACAATGTGAGTATCATGAGCAGTGCCCTCCAAACTAACCCAAATTTGATCATGCACAGGAACTGTAGCAAGAATGTGAGTACCGTCTATTGCACCAATGTAATCAAAAAACAAAAAGAAGCATTTATTAAGGACTTTATTTTTGGTATTTTTATTTATATAATGCAATCATATATTACCTTGAAGTATGGATAATATCTTCGATCATTCTTTATCTTTTGTGGAACTACTTTAAATTGTTGATCGGATGGTTGGATCAAATTCTTTCACATGTCACACACTATTTGTAGAATCATTCCAAAGTACCTGCTTATGGTCTCCCCAGAATATTGAAATTGCTCTTGTGCTAACCTATTACTTATTACATTTCCTAAAATATAGAGAAATATAGCAATCATTTTGGTAACACCAAAACTCGTAGATCCTTTAAGACCAAATTGCATTTCCAAATTTTATTAATCTGTCATGACATATAAATTAAAGATCAATTTAGTTGTATCAATATTTAAAAAAAATAAAATTAGTTGAAACTAAAATATTCTTATATACTTACATTCTTGAGGTCACTCTAATTTTGCTTAGAACCTGTGACACTAAAGTCAAACTCAAAATTTTTATATTTAATTATTGTAAGTTCAGTGAAGAATTTCCAAATAAGCCCCATTAACTAATATATTTTAAAATTTTACTTGATATGAATTGTATGAAGTTCATATACCTGAGACTTAGTTCTCGATCGAATTGCTATAGGTATTTCAAAAAGATCATCAATATTCTGATATAAAGATAATTCATTTGTGATCTTGTTTTGAACTTCAATGCTTGGAAGCAAACTCTGTATCAAACTTAATGGAAGAGTTCTTATAAAAGAATTATGGATTTAAATAGTGTCCCGTTATAAATAGTGCTGCTAATCAAGGTAGGCAATATCGAATGATATCGCTCGGTACGGACGATACATACTGTTCCGACGGCATATCGGTACGCGGATTGCCCGCTACTGGGCGGAACAAAAAATAATAATAAAATAAAATTATATATATATATATATATATATATATATAGTTTCGTATCGTACCAAGCGAACGTCGAAACTTCGGTACGGTACGAAATTGCAGACCTTGTTGCTAATAATGTTCTGCTGCATATAGTGGATGGTGAAGTTGGTATTCTCATCTTTTATCGATGATTGCAAAAATATGTTGATACTTTTTTTATTTCCATCAAAAGATTTTTGAATTATTTTTTTGGCTCTATCAATAGTCTTATAAATATATTTCATTGTTGGTTTTTTCTCGGTATCTATGAACTAAAGAACTCGAACAACAGAGCCTTTTACTTTTAATGCGTAGATTATATGTTTCCAAAATTATAGCATCGGGATAATATCACTTGCCCTCTTGCCTTTTACCTTTTTTGCTCATTTACATGTCACTTATTTATATATGGTAAACATATTTCTATGGTTGTGTTTTTGCATGTGAGCTCTTTTGCAATGATAGGAATGAGTAGCAAATCAATGGTATTGTATCTCACCAAATCCGTGTTGCTTGTAAATTCTCTCATTATGCTCAAAGCCCCAATATGATTATATATAAATCCAATATTAAAGATCGTCTTTTCTAAGATCTTCATGTCTATAATCTTTCCAATATCCTTTAATATTATATCAATACAATGTGTATATCGAGTCGAATACAAGTATAGTCTTTTTGCTTACAGTAATTTACCTAAAAAAGAGAAAAATAAAATTGATAATTGTTTGAAATTATAAAATTAAC